CATCTAATACTAAATCTCATCTCTCTTAATAGAAAAGAAAGCAATAGCTATTCATTCAACTTTGACTTTTTTTAAACAAACACACGTAATTCTATACCTAACTCACACTATTACCATACATATACATCAATTCGACTCTAATCTTTCATGTTACAAATTTTACAATTTTCTTATCATCTGTTAGAGGGATAGAGATAGGATTAAAGCATGTTTCATGCAGGATTGTATTGGGGCACGCCTATTGGCTATTTGTTAACCAATCAGCGCTAAGGAGGCTTAGAAACCATTATAGAAATTACAAATATAGTAACATTTTTCGTATTGTGATTTTTACTTCCGTCCAACCTTGTTATTTAGAATACAAGTACACTCTCGTTCATCTGTGTTCTACTTTAGGGACTTTTTGAGTGAATTGGTATCCAAGATTACTAAGCAATAATAGTAGCTAGGTCATAATGAGAGAAATCCTAACAGCATCATACAAACAGACATATACATAAATGTCCTATACAGATTCATCTTGACCAAATAATTCACGTAATATTAAAATCATCAAACCTATGTTGCTTTCGATTGAACTAAATATTCTACTTTAGTCCTGTTTACTATTTTAACTTGAGTTAATTTGGTACGTTTATCTATTTACTGTCTGAGAAACAATTTAAATCAAGTTGTGAAACGTCAGAAATTTTAAATTTCTATTCTTTGAGATATCATCAATATATCTTTACTTTATTAGTAGTATACTATGCCTGACCGTAGCTGCTACCTTGAAATGGTGGTCGAGCTTGCCTATCGTGATGACCCAACCGAGCTATATTGGCTGGAACATATGTTCCTATAGGTTCTACTATGCCAGGCAGGTCGATTAGAGAACGGTAAGGCTTCCTCTTTTCCGCTTTCTTTCCGGGTTCCAAGTTAGGGATTGCCTCGTGATGCAATTTGGTGATTTGCTTAATGTATATCCGATCCACTTCCAACGTCTTTTCCTAATTTCCTCTTCAGCTGCAAGCTGGTTTGTTCTCTCCCATAAAACGCTGTTGCTGATAGTATCCGGCTAGTGAATATTGAGTATTGTTGTTGTTTATCCTACTCCACCTTTATTTCAGATAATTTTCTGTTTCTGTATTAAAAAGTGTTATTTAATCTTAACAAAGATAAGTATTTTTATATAGTTCAAATCATGAGTCAATTGAAGCTAGACCACCATGAAAAACCTAAAACCATTGGATGGCCTTTTCGTCCTGCTGAAGAGTCCCACAAAAAGATGAAGCGGCCGACTAGTGCTTGTATTGTTATGAGTATTCATTCTCTTTGAAACCTTTTCATTAGAAAAGTTATTTATAAGTTAAATAATCAATAAATTATTTTATTCATTTTCTTATCAGCTACTCCACACACCCTCCACACACACATTCTGTGTAACTTCAAATGTTTTCTCCCTTTCTCTTTGAGAATACGCTTGTGTTCATTCGACTAGTCATGATTATCATTATTAATGGCTTTATTCAATATTATGTTTTTGGTACAATATAGAATTCTCAGCACCAAGTATTTCAACAAGTTTCCTTTATTTATTTCTTGACCGATTCTGACGATAAATATTAAGTGATCGCCAGTTAGATGTTAGCACTTCAGGAATCGACATCTAAATAATGTTCATTCATTTCAATACATATTGACAGCCACCACAATGTCTCTGATTGTACTTTACTGTTACTTGTACAACGAAAGATTATACACTTTTCATAAACTCACCTGTGAATAGGTTATGCAACTAATAGTATTATTTTATTTTATTATTTAAACACATAAATATTGGTACAAGGAAGCACCAGATAAATATGCGCCTCACAAATCTCATTTGATTTGCGTGAGTGCTGTGATACTGCCCAGGTGCCCAAACTGAAGCAGGTGGTTTTCTTAGGGGGCCACACACAGAGACTTTGACCTAAAGGTCTAGTCCACAAGTCAGTGGAGCATCGTGAGGAGATGCAGTCCCATGGTAGCCGGTGACCAACGATTGATTCATACGCCATTTGTTCCCTCAGAATCCTAGAGCCAACCCATGTGCACTATTGGTTTGGAATGAGGGTTTTCCAACTCCCCTAGGTGGACTTTGCGTGTCCACCAACCCGGTTAAAGCGCCGGACATCCGCTTTTCGTCCTCTCAATTTCGTAAACAACACCCGTGGTGCAAGAAGGCAGTGAGTAGGACTTCCTTGGCAGAGGCTATATATTCGCTGGCCATTTCGAGAGGGAGAGCGGACTCTCCCCACTCTCGGCCGTACCAGGGCATTTGGGGGTATGCGACTAATAGACTTAATGATGTATTAAGACCGACAGAGAAACAGATAGAAGGAACAGTTAACTCAAATATTCAAGTACGCTGGTGAAAGATGGAAAAATCAGTCCTGATTTATTTTCACTAAAATATACAATTTAGACTTAAATTACATTTAAATTATTATTATTATTTTTGTTGTTTTTCTTTCAAATGGACACTATCTATCTTAGTATTACAAATGCCAATAATGATAGCCTGATAGTTTCGTTTATTTCTATACTGTACATTTCTATCTCAATAAAATGTTTATGGAACATTATTAATTTATTTCATATGGACAACAACAAGAAGCATTCCACTTTCATCTTCATTATTCATTTACAGAAGAAGAAGAAGGAAATTTATGGTTCTCCTTCTCCTTCTTCTTCTTCTTCTTCTTCTTCTTCTTGTGCTAACATTTAACTGTTTACTTTCGGTTTATTAATGTTAACCCTTTTGAAAATATTGGTACATTCATATTTGTCTAAAAGTTTGACAGTTTCTTTCCTCTTTTTTTATTATCTAAATACAATTACAATTTTCTTTGATTAATTAGTCTAAAGGAGTGAGAAAAAAGAAGAAAGAAAAGAAAAGAAAAAAAAGACAAAAATGATTAATCCATTTAATTATTTTCTTACTTACTTACGACTGTTACCCCTCGTCGAGGAGTATAGGCCACCTACCAGCATTCTCCATCCAACTCTGTCCTGGGCAATCTCTTCCAGTTCTTTCCACTTGTTATTCATTCTTTTCATATCTGCTTCTATTCCCCAACGTAATGTGTTGTTTGGCCTTCCTCTTTTTCACTTCCCTTCACCATTCCAAGTTAGGACTTGCCTTGTAATGCATATTGATAATTTCCTTAATGTATATCCTATCCACTTCCAACGTCTTTTTTCTAATTTCCTCTTCAACTGAAAGCTGGTTTGTCCTCTCCCACAGAAGGCTGTTGCTGATGGTATCCGGCCAATGGATGTTTAGTATTTTGCGTAAACAACTGTTTATAAATACTTGTACCTTCTTGAAGATGAATATAGTAATTCTCCTTTTAACGACGACTTAATCTAAACAGTTTAATTTAAATGAAGTAGGAATCGAAAAAAAGAGTACAAATTGTGTTCTTAATGTTATTGTAGGGAACGAGAACATAAGCAGCAACAACTAAACGCAATTTGAATGAAAAACTTACAGAATCTCTTAGTCAAATCTAAGAATCATACAGTAAATACTTCATTTGAAAAGTATTCATCAATTGTCTGAAACTTTATTGTTCCTTCATTTTTATACTCATCACTTTTTGTTTTCGTTCTGTTCTTTCAAATCTTCTCGACTTTCTGCCGTCAGGCATTCCACTTTCTAATGGTGATACGTACTAATTATATCTGTTGACATCAGTAGCACACACATCACATTATCAGATTACTTATTAAAAAATTTATTCCTAATGAAGAACAAAAGTTGAACCGTTTGAATGTATCAAACTATAACTATATTTAATTTTTCCCCATCACTTCTTTGTTTAATGTTAACTAAAACAGACTAGTCCTAAATTAATATCAGAAGGGGGTTTTGTGGATATTATAGTAATTTCAATAGTTGAGATAATTAGTCGATAGAAGCTAAACCACTATGGAAAGCCGGTAAGCACTGGACGGCCGTTCTGTTCTATTGTGGGACTCCTCAGCAGTGCGCATCCACGATCCCACCTCACGAGATTCAAATCCAGGACTTATCAGTTCCGTGCGCGAGCGCTCAACCTCTAGACAATTGAGCCGGCCGTCATCCAACGGTGCTAATGTCTAACTTCAACCAATCAACGAAATTGAGCGACACATCCACCATTGTCTTAAGTGAAGTGCTATCTCACAGCAGACCTGGTTGAACTCCTACATTGATCATTCAATTCGAGATTATTGTTTAAATGATTCGTTTGAAAATATTTGCTCATTTCATTTTCATGAACACCTAATGATTAAAATGTCATTGTTTTTTTTCTTCTGTTAAAATCATTCTGATTCCATTACTATTTAAGGTTAGACTCAGAGTTACTTGGCAACAATAACGATCAAATTGCTGATTCTAGGAATCCTCATCAACTGAGACTGTTTTAATGTGCGTTATGTGTAGCTAACCACCAGCTCCCTCGACTGCCTATGTTAGCTGTTGTAGAAGTTATCGTGAAGAAAGCTAGAGGCGGGTAAACCAAGAACGTGTCATTATGAAGTCATTGGTTGTTGGTCTGAACCATGTTGGTAGATTGAAACTTTCTGGTTAGAATCTGCGCGATAAGCAGTTAGAGACATCGGGTGATATGGCTCAGAATAAATTGCAATGGCTTAGGTTTAATAACACTTTATCTTCTTCTACAACTTGATTTTCAGTATCATTCTATATGTAACTTTTAATTCTGTCTTTTTAAACCATACCCTTAATGTTTAGTCTTTCTGATTATCATTACTGTTGCAATTATTCTACTCTATTCACCATCTATCCTGCTAATTTTATCCTGTTATTTTAATGTGTTTTGGCAACTAGTCCATATTTGTGATAGACTTTGCGTTGGTTATGACTGACTTACATTTAATATCCTTTCATGTCTATTGTATCACTATGTTTCTCAATTAAATCTTCTTTTCTTGCTTTTAACGGCGCATCATCTTTCTGCGAACTATAGTTGGTACTTTCGAAGTATATCAAGAAAAGATTCAGAGCGTCTTTTATTATTGAAAGGAAATATTCGTGGGACATTTCTGGTTCGAGCTAGTGAAACAACAAATGGTAAGCGCTTCTCTCACCCTTTGTATATGCTTATTACTAATGATAAAAGGTTTAAATAAATTTCTCTGATTAACTTGTTTTACCAAGATTCTTTTTTAACGGGATTGATTTAATAACTTCATCCCCAACCATCTTTCTCCTTTATCCGGGACCCACCATAACCTATGAAGGGATGCAGAAAGATTTACTATCAATAGAAGCCGAGTTTTAATTATGTTTCATTACTGTATTTCAGCTTTATCAGTTGATAAGTAGATCGCAAATGTAACCGTCGCTTACTTAGACAATGTATTATGAACGACCAGGTAGTGGAACGACTTCGGTATCTATAGTATGTACCAATTATTATAAAGGGTTGTTTAAGTTTTCAACATCCTTAGAACTTATGCCATACGTGTATAACTTTGCTTACTGATTAATCTATATACTCAAGTCTCATGAGTATGGTTCACTGTAGAGTAAAATGATTGAAGTCTATTTTTTAAAATCTGATTAATGGAAAGTAAGTATATCATATTCTGATAAGTAGCTGATTTGAACACGCATATACTAAGTGTAGCAGGATTGAACGACTACAATTAAGAACAGTTAGATACTAAATTTTCTGTGGTTTATGATTATTTTTTTTCATTTTGTTATTGTTTCTCTTCTCCTCCTCCCCGTCTTAAGGTGCTCTATCCTTGTCAGTGCGTGATACAGAACAACAGAGAGGTGAAACTGTAAAACATTATAAAATTAAACAATCCTCTGAAACTGGTGATGTATATATAACTACAAAACAAGTCTTTCCTGATTTAAAATCATTAGTTGTTCATTATTCTAATCAAGCGGATGGTTTATGTTGTTGTCTTACACGTCCATGTCCAAGACCACCACCTGTCCCAACTGATTTATCAAGATTAACAAGAGATCAATGGGAAATTTCACGTTCTTCATTAAAATTAATTGAATTATTAGGTGCTGGTCAATTTGGTGAAGTTTGGAAAGGTAAATTGTACTGACACTACTCTAATTTGAAGTAGTTTATGAAGTATAAATTTATAGTTTTTAACTTTAATTACCTTCAACAAAACGATATAATTTATCTTTCAATGTTGTAATCAGAACTGTTTGTAAAATAGATAACAATCATCTTGATTAAAGTTAAATGGTAGCTATCTGTCGGTTGGTTAGAATAGAATTCAGTGAAAACGTGGTAAAATACTTGATCAAACGATGCGACGAAAGAAGTCTATTCCTATTTCAATCTTCCAACCATTGGTTTAATCTCTTTTATTAAGGTTGAATCAGAAAGCGCTCAGTTCTTCATATATCTTACATTAAAAGTCAACGATTTTGTTGTTTCATAAGAATCTAAGGATTAAGAAATCCCCTCATTGGCTCTAATTTATATTACACTTTGTTATAGTTGGTTGTTTCTTGATGTACTTCATTCGATCCAGATGTAGATCGATTATCTCTTTTTTTTTAAAAAAAATTTACCCTAAAAATCAAGACTACCTATTCAAAGCCCATACTATTGAAGTTTACTAGGTTTCAGTTATTCAGAAAGAGAAAACTGTACAAATTATTATTGTATGAATTGGTAATCAGTTCACAGGTTACATCTTATTCAAAGCTGTCGGAGAAACTGATACACATACCAGATTGACTGATTGATTTAATTAGTAAAAAGATTACATTTAATGTTATATAAATTCTTAGAAAATAAACTGTGCTTCTGGTAAGTAAATATCGTTTAAAGCTTCATAATTTTGTAAGCCATAGTTTACTAATCAATGGCTTCATCCGTCGAATACAATTCATGGTCATCCCAGGTTTCCTAGATATCTTATTCATACAGCTGCAGTTCGAATAACTCAATACTTCTGAAGAAAAACAAGTTATCGCAAGACTAAAGGAAAAGTTTGTGAATGACTGTGTATAAAAATAAAATTCAAAACTCATCGGTTACGCTTATCTGGAGTCCGATGTGATGAGATTTCCTGATAAGGTATAAACTCATTTCACAAGTTAATAAATTACCCATTAACCTATTGAGTTATTACGGACTATTGAAGCGTTTAATTGTCTAACTAATTATTTCTTATTTATTCTAGTCTGATCTCATTGAAAACTGTCCATAAATATAGTCTATAATAATCTACTTAGTGTTTATCAATTCATCACCAAGTATTACATATTATTATCAGAAGGGGGGTTTTGTGGAGATTTTAGTAATTTTATAATTGAAATCATCAGTGAAGTGAAGTGAAGCTAGACCACTATGGAAAACCTGGAAGCACTGAACGGCCGTTTCTTTCTAATGTAGGACTCCCGGAGTTCTAGTGAGAAGCAATGACTAGTGGAGTTCAATCGGGTTTATTGTGAGATAGTAACTCACTGAAGACAATAGTGGACGGTTGCTCGATTTCGTGGATTGGTTGAAGTTAGACATTAACACCGTTGGATGCCAGCCAGCTTAGTGGTCTATCAGTTAAATGCTCTGGCGCGAGACTGGTAGGTCCTGGGTTGGAATCTCGCGAGATGGGATCATGGATGCGCACTGCTGAAGAGTCCCACAATAGGACGAAGTGGCCGTCCAGTGCTTCCAGGTTTTTCATGGTGGTCTAACTTCACTGGACTCATGATCTCAACTCTACAATATTTCTCATTCATTAAATTATTCATTTTTATTAATATTATTATCTATTAAATGAATTATTTAGGAAAATGGAATGAAACAATTGAAGTTGCTGTAAAAACATTGAAACAAGGTACAATGACTAAAGAAGAATTCCTTAAAGAAGCACGTATTATGAAACAATTACATCATCCAAGACTTGTACGTTTATATGCTGTAGTTACAGCGGAACCAATTTATATTATCACGGAATTAATGAAAAATGGAAGTTTATTAAAATATTTACGTGATGGTCCCGGTAAAGAATTAGGATTAAAACCATTAATTGATATGATGGCACAGGTAATTTGGAACCATATTTACTTCATATTTTATATGTACTATAGTGAATTGGTTTTATTCTTCCTATCTGAGAATAGTTTAAAGATAGTGTCAGATTGTGTGTATGTGTAAAAATGTAGATATAATCCAACAACAACAGGTTTATTATATTTTCCGTATCTTGATGAGACAATCTATTTATGTACTACTCAATCAGTCAGCTACAAAGTAGGACCAGGCACATTTATGCATCGGTCCAAGTTGCCATACCTCGTTAGTACAACAAGATAATAATAATAATAATTAATGGCTTTATTCAATATTATAATCTGGTACAATATAGAATTCTCAGCACGAGTTATTTCAACAAGTTTTTTTACCAAAAAAAAACAAAACAAAAAAAACCCAGTAGCTACTGCGCCACCACAGGTCTTTTTATTGTTTGATCGATCCTGACGATAGATATTAAGATCACGTAATGATACTAGGCAATCATCCTGTAAGTCAGTCAACCAAGATTCTTGAATTGTGATGACACCACAATTACGATACATGTTTTGACTTAGCAAAAATTGGAGATAGTCCACCTTGTTAATTAGAGATCGACAGTTAGAGTTAAGCAGCTCGGGAATCGACATTTGATTAATGTTTATTCTCTTTAAAGCATATTGCCAAACACCACAATGTCTCTTATTATACTTGTTTGTAATTTTTGCAGCGAAAGGACGTAAGCTTTTCATAAACGCGCCTGTATAGGTTATGCGATCAAAAGACATAATGATAGGTTAAAACCAATTTTTAAAAAAAACCAGATAACTTGTTGAAATATTTAGATGGCAGAAACAGGTAGCCCAGGGATTCAAGCAGGCCGCACTTTTTTGAACACCGGATTCATAGAAGTAGTTAATTAAGTGGTGGTAATATATAAAAGAAATATTGTATATAAGGATATAGTATAGGAAGAAGGAAAGTTATGAATCAATTTTAATCTCAAGGTTTAAGGGAAGATGTACTGTTGATGTAATCACAATTAATAAATAGAGAGGTTTGTGAATTTCTGCGTGAAATTTCCTAATTCATACTTACTATCATTTACATTATGAATGGTTTTTATAGAAGATACATTTATTTAGAGATTAAATCATTCAGAATGGATAGGAAAATTGTCTTACCGTTTACATCTCACAACCTAGGTGATATGGTATGAAGGTGAGAGAGTACATGAAATACTTCCTTGTTCTAATGAAAATCTCATTAGAAACATAATACAATGGTAATACTTTACTTAAGGCCCTCAAATGCCCTGGTACGGCCGAGAGTGGGGAGAGTCCGCTCTCAACCTCGAAATGCTCTCAGATAGCCACGCGTATACAGCCTCTACCAGGGAAGTCCTACTCACTTCCTTCTCGTGGCCAGAAAGTTGTTTACGAAATTGAAAGGATGAAAAGCAAATGTCCGGTGCTTTAACCGGGTTGGTGGACACGGATAGTCCACCTAGAGGATTTGGAAACCCTGATTCCAATCCAATGGTATTATATAGCTGCACCAAAGTTATCCCTTAATCCATTAACTGAATTATTTGTAAATTTTAAAAGTGTGGTGTTTTGGGAAGATCATAGCATTTTCATAGGTATCACATCTCGAACTGATCTTAGTTAGGTCACCATTTGAAATCTGGAGGCACTGACACCGTTTCGTCTCAGTATGGAATTCCTTAGCAGTGCACTTTCACGACCCCACATTCGGGAATCGAATCCAAGATTTATCTCGAATACCTGACCTTTAGAACATTAAGCAGGTATCTAGTTGTCTCACTTTGATCACTTCAAAATATTGGATGACAATCTTCCACTCCACACTCTCGATATGGTTAAACTCCACTGTTTATAATTTATTCAGAAGGTCGAAATCCTGAAACGTATTTCTGAAATCCCTTTATTCTATACAACACTGAAATTAAAGTTCATCTCAGTAGATGTTATGAAATTTTAACTTTTTTTCAGCACCATTTACGTGGCTCTATTACTGTAAAAGTGAAAATTGAACAACTGAGACAAATTTCCTGTCATAGGTTTATAATATATTTGAAAATGATGAAGATTAGATCATGGCAAGATCACACAACTATTTTAGTTAAGATACAACGTTTAGATAAAAAAATTCTATTGCATAACAAATTCATTACGCTTGTGGGTATAGATATCAAGCCCAGACTAAAATTTAAGTAAAGTAGCGATATGTTAGTCGAATTCAGCCTGCATGAAAACCAGAGATGTCACTCAGTTAGTATCAACACGTCAAAAAACTGGTCTACAAAACTGTCGAAAAAACTCAATGAATACTGGCACTAAAACTATTGTACGAACCGCAATGTGAAGATTTCATTTTGTCGTCCCTTCAATGAGACTTAGCATTATGTAGCAGTGATAACCACTGTGATTTATAAGACATTAAAACTTTGTGAATGTTTCCAGGTTATGCTTTAAATAGAATTGGGATTGAAGAAGTCACTCTGTTTTCTGTTTGTGCAAAAGGCGGTAGAAGTTTATCTAGTCTCCTTACACTAGGAATTTCTTTCATTAAAATGATTAATCTATTTATTCATTGATCTGTAATTTACTCGATATGGTGATTTCCATCTTGTAAAAATTTGATATGGTGGATTGCGCATATACGAGAATCATGGAAATTAATTGAAATAAGTTCTCTAGAGTTACATGGGTTGCGATGATTATTCACCTGGTTTCAGCTGATTGTAAAAATATCTACTAATACTCTTAACATTCGTCAGTGTTATGAGATTCATGTTTTACGTATTGTCTTGAAGTAATGGACATTTGTCACTAATAGGGATGCGTTTGGTGTGTTGTAATCAATTGAAGAACCACCGGCACTCGGGATTGAGTAAATTCTAAGTATGACAGCGAATTTCCCAAAATATGGTATTCAGATCAGTCAGTAATCAGTAGACTTATCGATATGGATCCAGTTTATGAGTCCGTATGAAAGAGGTTAACCAATCAAAAGTTAAAGTCGGTTAACATGTATCCAAGATCAAATAATAGAAATTTTTTTTACAAAGACAATAAATCACAAACAAAGCCATCAAAACAAACTGATATAACAATTGTAGAATAATTAATATCATTTCCACATGAATTAGATGCCGAAGATGTTATCTTAAATGATAATGGAAACGTCGCAATTAAATTGTCTAGCTTAGAGAACACAACACCTCTAAAAACAAACTATCTTACTGCATATAATAATCCAAGTTTAGATTTCATAGAGATATGAAGATTTCTTCTAGTTGTTAATGAAGTTACACCTTGTTGATGAATATACATACCAAATGGCCCACAGCATTACACTTCATTAGCAAACTTTTATACACCTGTAACTTTTTCCATCATCTTTCTTCTTCTTCTTCTTCATAGATTGCTAGTGGTATGGCTTATTTAGAAAAAGAACACTATATTCATCGTGATTTAGCAGCAAGAAATATACTTGTCGGTGAAAATAATTCAGTAAAAGTTGCTGATTTTGGATTAGCTCGAATTATTGATAGTGGTAATGAAACATATACAGCTAAACAGGTTAGTTGTCATTAGAATTCTGTGGATTATTTCTTAATTGATTGAATAGTTTAGTTTTCATTTTTAAAAACAAACAAACTTGTTTTTAATTTCCATAAATTTATTGGATCTAATTCAATTGAATGTATTTTAGTAGAAAATCGATAAGGAGAGAACGGGAACGGGACGCGATTGGTATGAAAATGTATGAACAATAATAATCGGAGACTATGGACTGATGTTTGTAGAAGGAGCCTTCAAGATTAAGACAATTGATTGATAGTTTACAAATTAACTGTTTTCTGTATTAAGGCTATATTGAGGCAATACGCACTGTATGCACATATGCCAATTAGAGACTGACCAGTTGCAGTCCTAACACATCGATGGGAAGATTCAAAGAAACAATAATAAATGAATGTTTACTGTATGGTTGTCAGATTTTAGTGAGATAGTCTGTAATCTTGTGCTCAGGTACCTTCGCTTGTCCCTACACATGTTCTGCTCACTAAAACGTTAATATAATTACATTTCTATTCTAAGTAATACAAATATTTGGTCAGTTTACACTAGAATGTCTAAAAATATCGCTACACAGAATGACGAGATGGTTATACAAGTTTTACTTAAAGTTACTTTTCAATGTAGCAGACAAACTGTAACCAAATTGTTATATCCCATAGAGAATTATGAATGGTAACACTGAGGACTATTTATGGACCAATATGATATGTATATTTGCTGAGCCCCCAAATGCCTTGGTACGGCCGAGAGTGGGGAGAGTCACCTCTCCCTCTCGAAATACTCTAATATGGCCAGCGAATATATAGCCTCTGCCAGGGAAGTCCTACTCACTGCCGGGTGTTGTGTACGAAAGTGAGAGGACGAAAAGCGAATGTCCGGCGATTTAACCGGGTTGGTGGACATGGAAAGTTCACCTAGGGGAGTTAGAAAACCCTGATTCCAAACCAGTGGTGCACATGGGCTCCAGTATCCTGAGGGAACAAATGACGTACGAATTAACCGTTGATCACCGGCTACCATGGGACCGCATCTCCTCACGATGCTCCACTGCCTTGTGGATCAGACATTCAGGTCAAAGGCTCCGGGTGTGGGCCCCTAAGAAAACCACCTGCTTCAGTTCGGACACCTGGGCAGTATCACAGCCCTCAAGGAAATCGAATGAGATTTGTGAGGCGCATATTTATCTGGTGCTTCCTTGTAGCAATATTTGTGTTTAAATAAATAAATAAATAAATGTTGTATAATTGCTAAGTAACTTAAGTATTCATATTCGTGTTCCTTTTATTATGAGCTTTATTTTGACTCATAGACTATTAATATTGCCGTTCTTGAGTTATGCCCTGTCTACCGATTACCATCTCCCTTATTCATAGCCACATTTGGCTAAATCTGGTTCCCTATTTTATGGTACGATGTGGTCTGTCTGTTTGATATATAAACCCGGTATGTACGAAAAATGATTTATATTGCAGAGGTTGTTATTGGTGTTCTGAACTTAACTGGCGGAGCTAGGCATACAGCAGGACCAACAACTACTCTAGACTGCTCGTGCGGCTTTTGTATGTCATTGCTCTGATCGATAATTCATTCCTCTCTCATTGGCAGGGATTAACACGTTCATATATCAAACATGGCACGACGCACACTCACTCAATCGATATAACACAAATGAACAGGTTTGAATGCTATAAACACTTCAAGTGATTTGTTTCAATCACTGAAACACATATGGGTTTACTTTAGTTCGCTCATCAAGTTGGATAAAAACTAGCCGCTAAGAAATAAGTGATCATGGATGACGTTTACCATTAAGATGTAAAGAAGCCTATACTTATTGAGTTACATCATTTCAATTTAAACTCATTACAAAATTTTATTTTATCTTTTATTAGGGTGCTAAATTTCCTATCAAATGGACAGCACCAGAAGCTGCATTAATGGGTAGATTTACAATTAAATCAGATGTATGGTCATTTGGTATTGTAATCTATGAAATTATTACTTATGGACAAGTACCATTTCCATCAATGAATAATACTGAAACATTACAACAAGTAGAAAATGGTTATCGTATGCCATGTCCAATAAATTGTCCTAATTCTATATATGAAATTATGTTAAATACATGGGATGCTAAACCAGAATGTCGGCCAACATTTGCTTTTTTATGTAATTATTTTGAAGATTATTTTACATCAGCTGAATTATCATATCGTCCAGCTGATCATCATCATCATCATCCTAATAATCTTGATCAAAATGATGATCTTGAGATCATTCATTGTAGTAATAATAATACAAATAATCATGATCATCATAAACATAAACCAAGTCAATCTTTGTTATGTCAAGATGCAGCTATACTATATGATCAACGTCATACCAATACTAATAATAAGAGAAATGAACATTCTCCTTCGCATCATTTCAATGAAACTTCAATGACAACACAATCATTATCTAATTCATCACATATTTGTACAGTTCAAATGTGTTAATTATCAAATGTATATAATTAAAAAAAACAAAAAACATCCTATAAGATTGAAATAATCCATAGCTTATTCATCATTTCATTTATTCAATTTTAAATTAGGTATCTTTTCTTTTATTCTTTTAATTTAAACAAATAATAATAAAAAATTTATGCATTCAACTTTTTATTCATTTAAAAGTGCCTTTGTATTATTTGACTTATTTATAAACATACTCACTACTGATATAAACTTGATTGTTCATTGATTTCATTGTTTTCAATTCATTAAACTTTAATCAGGGCCTAAATAACAATACTGTAGAACTTTTTCCTCTCTCTATATATATATATACTCTTTCCTATTATGAGTCCTTTCCTTCAAAAAGAGAAAGAAAAGAATTCATGTCCCGGTGTTTCTTTATACAACTAGGATAATCACAACTAGGTTTTTTTTTTATGCCCCATTCATTATTGACATAGCTGAAATTGTAATTTCTATTTAAGATAATAAAAGTTAATAGATGATAAAGAAAGTACATTTTAGAGAGAAGATTTTAGTGAAGAATACTAACTAATTGATGTTTCATTCATTTATCCTTTTTAAATATTATTGAAGTTATATAATTGATATGACTATACTGGAAACTCTATACAAACATTCACCATGTTTGATGTACACGCTCACATCTCCTTACATTATGATACAATCATTTCTGATCTTTTTTTTATTTATTTGTATAATAATACTAATTTAGAGGTTAAAAGAGAACCTTTTAATCTGTTTGTTATATACTCTTCATAGGAATTTACTTTCATTGTTTACTTATAGAATTCTATATATATATAGATATTTTTTTAGTAAATAAAACAATGTTAAAGATTATAATCAAATTAGTAATGACTGAATGATAACTTATTAAATTAAAGGTTTTGTCTTTCTATAATCTCTCTTCAGTACACACTCGAGTTTATCCGCCACCTGAATGAATAACTTCTTTGTTCTCTTTGCTGGAATTTATGGTTACAGATGACAGTCATTTAATTCACTTATGTTTGTTTACTCTTCATTTTTCATCATTGTTAACTTGATAAATAATTGCTATTCGTATCAATATTATGACAATATCTATTTGTATAATTTAATAGGATATTTCATTTCATCGACACATTTAATAAACATGTTGGTGTATTATACCATTGACAGATTGTTTTAATCCCCTTTTTATTTCGCCTATTTCTTCTTCTTTCTCATATCTTTTGATGGTCACTTTTTTTCTATTGTCTTGTTCTTTTTTATTGATTTAAATTAGATAATATAAAAGACAAGATAACAACAACCTCAGGATGAAAATATGAATGATAAAAATAAGAAAACATGTCATTATCGTAATTGTCTTCTTTCTATCCCTAAATAAATAGTTGAATAGGGGATCCTAGTTGACTCATTGAAATAATTCCAACGTAACAACCACACACTTACTGGATTAAGTAGTAGTGCCTCTTAAATTTATTAAAACAATCGAACTATGCAATACTTTTACGCTAAAATAGTTTGCCAACAGCGAATAAACGAACATGCAACTGAGAACACCACATAAATTATACAGTTTGTTTATTTATTTAGACGCATAAATAACGGTACAAAGGAGCAACAGATATATATGCGCCGCACAAATCTCATTTGATTTCTGTGAGGGCTGTTATACTGCCCAGGTGCCCAAACCGAAGCAGGTAGTTTTCTTAGGGGGCCACACCCGGAGCCTTTGACCTAAATGTCTGATGCACAAGGTAGTGGAACAACTTCAGGAGATGCAGTCCCGGTGACCAACAACAAGTTCATACGCCATTTGTTCCCTCAGAATACTGGAGCTGATGTGCACCATTGGTTTGGAATCAGAGTTTCCCAACTCCCTCCGTGTCCACCAACCTGGTTAAAGCGCCGGACACTCGCTTTTCGTAAACAACAGTAACGCCACGAGGAGACAGTGTGTAGGAATTCCCTGGCAGAGGCTATGTGAGAGCATATCGAGAGAGAGAGCGGGTTCTCCCTACTCTCGGTAGTACCAGGGCATTTTGGGGCTAAACTACAAAGTGACAACAATCTAGCCGTATCCCAACAATTGTAAGGCATTGGTGTTTACCTATGAAAAGAAATCTTGCTCTCTTAATATTTTATCTTGAGTATTCTTGTACGCCAAAATCCAACCATATATTCATTGTAATTTTAAGTCGCTTGATAACACACATAAAGTGTCATTTTCTTCTTAAATGTTGATTCCTTTGATAATGTGTAGCTCAGTAAAATACATGGTTCCCAGGATATCCATTATAATCTGTCTCCAGTTACTCAATAATGGAAAACCAAATGTTGTAAAATACTCCAGTGTTATGTGAACGAATAAGCCATAACTTTTAATTTGTACAATTGTTGCGTTTATATTATCCCACTGTTGATATTCCTGACCGCATTTCGATCAGTCTTCGTTGATCCATGAGCATACTGTGCAGGTTTCCCCGATAGAGCCATTTTATCATAGGTTTCTAATAGAACAAATGGTTTGCTACTGGCTGAGAATTTCATGAGGCATGTTCTGCTCTACTCAGGACTTGTCAGCGGAGTTTACTTCACTATTATTACTAGATCATTGCACCTTTCGCTTTTAACGCCCGCTGCATTATCAACCAGTCCATACAGCCGTCCACTTGTGCAACAAGTATTATACTTACATGATTATTTGGGGCGAAAGGTACAGGATACGAGTCCCATAGTGCGAACGTCAATACTGGGGTGTAAGTACGTCCAGCCAGCCAGTTATAAATAAGACGAAACACTAGTTTTGGTTTACACTGCTCACCACAATCTATTCATTTTATTTGACTCACAGTATGCTAAGACACTATAACAAACGCATTGAAAATAAAAGGTCTTACTAGTATGTAATGAGTATAATTATTAATAGGTTGAATAAACCCCACCCATTTTTACTAGACTGTAATACCAACATTTTACGATAAAGCGATATCTATCATTAATAAATGAAGAAAGAACACATGCGGACTAGTTCCCATTACTTGATGCTATCAAAATGATGTATGGTATGAATAAAACAACTATTATTATACAAAGTATACAAATAATTCAGGTTTTTAAAGAAATCAAACACATTCATATTCTTTTGCTCCGAGTACTCCTGGTTGATTTAATACTTGAATTTGACATAATTGAGTTTGTTCTTTTGCTGAGATTAGATTTTCTTTTTTTATTCCGCTTTGGTAGTTTGGATAATACAATTTCAGTAAACATTTTAAATGCCTTTTGGACTTTTTGGACATCATACTGATCTGAAAGAATCTTGGAAAGATAAGTACAATATCTTTCAACATCCATTGCTAAACCTTCTTCATAAGTCATTTGTTCATATTGCTTAGATTTGAGGAACGGGCACTTTGGTGAATGACTTTTATGCTCTTTGTCTGGATCATCCTGCAAACGAAAAGAAATAAAAGCATAGGTATCGTATGCAAAACTAAAATTGCGACAGGATATGTTCTGAGCATCAAACCCAGAACTAATCAAAGAACTTAACTAAGGACATATTGAGATTGTATGCTAGATTTGATACTTTTGTGATAAAACAATGGACATAAAACCATCCAAACAAGAATAAGTGTTGGACAAAATTTTCACTACACGATAATAATAATAATAATAATAATAATGAATCTATGCATTTAAATTTTTGAAGGAATTAGCTACTACTTAATGACATGGCTTAAAATCGTTGGCAACGGAGTAGGTGCATTTAATCTTTATCTCCTCTTAGATCCCAAGTTTTTTAATGAGTCGTAATTTTTTGATTTCACTTTTATACTTTTCCGAATCGTATCTTGGATATTCATTTTTTTTTAGGTGAGCAAACCTACTGATAAGATCGCTACTACCTTGATATTTGCTCCGACAATTTTATACCGCCGTTCAAATGAGGCATGAAAACTTGAACCGATGAACACAAATGTTTAGTTTTACGCTGAATTTGACTGACTGACTATTGAGACAGATCTTTTTGGACATACTATAAAATATGGTGATAAAATAGCCCCCAAGATACCTTTAAGTCACGGTTGCAAACCTTTCCTATAGTAAACATGGTAGCGAAGTTTATTTCATTTACCACATTAATAAAGTTATCTGATGTAAAATTTGATACTCATATAGTGAACATGACAAAGGTAGTTGTAATGCATGAGATGAAACCTGAGTCATATGTAAAAAACTGTGAAAATGTTACGTTCTTTCTGGCCTACTTTTTATCGCTCAAAATTTCCTATTCCTGGTCATTTAATGAGTTGAATGGTTTTCCCAATGTTTTTATTAGTATTGGATTACTGATCCCACTTGTTAATTAAATAACATGACCTGTCACGAATACAGCGAAACACTTTTGGCTGTAAATATGATCCTAAAGGAAATAACTATTTGCTACATTTAACCTAGCTTTTTAGTTTCATCAATTAAACATTTTAAACAATTTAAAACAAACTTAGTGGCTTTATGTTAGCTAATATAGTGCTACATAATTTGATTAACAAACTTTCCTGACTATCTGAAACCGTTGTCTTATTCTCATATGGTGATGGGACTGGATGCCATAGGAGCGAATAACTTTATATTTTATTCGAAACCTTAAACAATTTCGCAAAGCCAAGATGTAGCTTCTAATCATGTAGCTACTCAATTCATAGAAAATGAATAGAAATTTGCAATTTAATAAGTTTATCAAGGCATTCAGAAAGGAGCGTCGGTAGTTGATGAATAAGGAGGAAACGACTTCATATCAACTTCATTGGCAAAAATTGGCTAAGATTATGAGATGTATATTTTCATTGCATCCTATTCATTCCGCTTTACTTTAAGTTTACTCTATGGAACCTTTCATACAAGATAATAATGCCTTTTATGCCAAAACCTGTCTTTTCATTCCTGGATAACTAAGCACTACGACCTTCGTTGGAAGGAAGGAGCCAACAAACGCAAGTGAACACCACAGAAGTACATAACTGTTTTCATTACAATAACAAACATAAGGTACATTTATTCGCATCTCATAAACGAAACGAGAGCAAGCACATAATTCTTTAGGCAGCCGCTTATTAGTAACAAATAAACCTTAAACTAGTGTACGTAATAAAAAGTCGGAAACCTTGGAACACATTTTATTCGAATTTGCGAAAAGCAGGCAACGCAAATTCACATCGATGAAGATACTGTTAATCATAACTTTATCAACGGTTAGTGTGACTCTTAGTGTATTAAATGCTGCTGAAGAATCTATCACCCTTATACCCATCTGCTTACCGCATCACATAAAGTGGAACATAAAGATACAGGAGTAGTTCAAGACTACACAATGGTACAATCTGCGATATGCCTTCGTGAACGCACAAAAACCAGCACCAATAAAAACACTCAACCACTTTGCTTATATTAATAAAAACTTGTAAACGTTGTGAAACGTTAAAGTTCATAAGGACAAATTAAAATGGCGTGAAACATTTTGAATATCATGTACTACGTGAAACGAAGTCTTGGTGATTCAATCTGGAAGGAATTTTAACTTACATCAGGTTCCCATCCTTCTAATTCTTTCATGCAGACAAAACACTGTGTAGTAGTTGGATTGCTTGGATTTGGTCGGTAGAACCCAGATTTGGCCATTTTTTCAGCTGTACAAAGGGAATTCCCATCATAAGGCCAGTTACTTAAAGTACTTAATCTATATGAGTAATTGGAAAGACGAAATCTGTCGATCGGAGTACTGACTGACATCTACAAGAGCAGGAAGAAAATATAATTAAACGACGCCCGTATGAAAAGTTTTTAACAAAGCAAACATGCAACAATAGCTACTATCTGGCCAGTATATAAAACAGCTTAACATCGGTCATTCAAAACTACTTTTAAGAACGTTTCTTGTGCTCGAGAAGAAATAATTAAAAGTATGGGAGACACGTATGATGTTAATCACCGGCACAATTTCGAAAGCTGTCAACTTATTTTAGGAAGTCAGATGAAAATCGGAAACATTGTACTGACACAAGGTCTCTTTCCAAGAGGTTCTAAACCAAACGCGTTTTTCTGGAGGCAACATTCAGAAGGAATCATGTTTGTACCAAATGGCACGATCATTTGAGCAACCGTCATTTGTGAAGTAACAATCAAATGTCGACTATAACCACATCGAAACCTACATGGAAGCCCTAAATAAACAAAGCACTAGAGCTAAGATAATTTGAATAGTTTCTATTCAGACACTAAAATACTTTGTAGGAACTGGTGATTGACTTCGAACGGATGCCTTAAACTTATCTGTAGTTTGTATCTTTTCTGACAGTAGTATAACTCTCCTGAAACTGAAGCGTTTATCCCAATAATGAGTATTATGGGTTAAGAGGAAACAAGTTTGATGTACTACTATAAAATACTACTAGTAACCCTAAAACCACATGAATTAATAGATATGACGTAGCCTATGCAGTGTGGAGCCCACAACATACAGAATAACTGGAAAATCACAAACATTATGAAATACATATAAACAGCGTAAATTTCAGTCATTTCTAAACTTGCGTCTGTTCTGAAGTTGCATTGCATGTTAAGCCGGGTGTAAATTTTGTGAGGAACACGAGTAAACAAAAAATTTTAGCCGGCTCAAAAGGCACGCATAATATTCTCACATTTTGGTAACGAATAAAATCGACGACTAGCAACAATACAATAGTACGATCATTACAGTATTAAAGTCGAAACGGTAGCGCGCTGTCCAAAATTCGACTTTGGAAAGCTTCCAATATCCAATGTCTATGTCCTAAACTGTAGGAACGAATTGATTACTCTCGGCTCGCTTATTTTTGTTTTAGTACTATTCTAGGCATTTCGCTGTGTATAAGTGTTGGTTTTCCAGCCACTCAACTGCGCTAATAGTTGTATGTGGATTTGTATATCTTGAAGTTTGAGTGTGTTTGCCTCAGGTTAGAAGGGTTTCTGGATACCATCAGGTATCACACTATCAGGCAGTAGGTTGTTTGGTCGTGATATAAAAATAGCAGATTGAAAAATCGAGCTTCATGTGAATACGATAGTCTTGAGTATAAATAAACAATCTACTTGATTGGTAATGCGTGGGAAGAAGTTGAAGGAATAAGATGGGAACAGGGTCGACAACAAGAGGGAAGGGAAGTAGCTACTAGTATGCGGTAGTGATAACTGTGGTAGTTTACGAGATATTCATCAGGCATAGATGGTCCAAGAGGTATTTGATGATCCATTAGTGAGTACTTGTTTGTCAAATTTCCTCTTAAAACTATCCAAATGGGAGCGACTCCTAATGAGAAAAATGAGATCGAATAGGGGTGCAGTCCTTTGAGGGTTGCCTCAAGGATTGTTTTTATGATGTTTCGACATTACGCTCTTGTTAGGATAGATCGGTGTACTTAATATGTTGTATTCTATCATCAGGTTATTTTGATGTTGGTTTGTTCTCTGAGCTGGGTGGTTTGGTCGTGGAGCTTTCATCGTCCTTCTGAACGACATCATCAGCACAAACTTCGGGTAGAAGTGAAGTGTTTGAATTTCTCCACATGTGATTCACAGCTTGTCCTCTGCACCTCGATGTTGATTGGTTCTTATTGACCTTAAATCTGTCATTGTTTATTTCTTTGTTTTGGTTGTATCTCCTATTGGTTTGATTTTTGTTCCTATCTTCTTGCATAATTTTCTTGATTGGTTGATAGATTGGATTGATTTCAATATGTTTGTTTATTGCTGATTGACCTGAGTGCCAAGCTTCTAAAAATTCTCTGGTATTTTTGGAATTACCTCTGTCCAAAATCTGCACGTTTTCCCAGTCGAATGTATGTCCGTAGTTGTCCACGTGTATTGATATGAGTGAAGAAATGTCGTGACGTTTGACTGCTAATTGGTGTTCATGTAGGCGAAGGTGCAGGGGCCGTCCGCTTTGTCCAATATAGTGTTTGTTGCAGTTGGTACAATTTATCTTGTAGATGATGTTTGTTTTGTCTTCTTTTGCCATTTCATCTTTTGGTTTGCATAAGATTGAGTGGAGGGACTTTGTTGGTTTGTGGGCTACACCTATTCCGAAGGTTTTCAGCAGCCTTGTTGTCGTTTCCGATATGCCCTTTATGTATGGTAGGGTGATCATTTTGTTGATTTTCATACCCGACTTCGTTTCTGATGGTGTGTGCAACTGGTATTTTTTGATGAAATTGATTGGATAGCCGTTCTTTTGAAGAATGGTTTTCAGGTGTTTTTCTTCATTTTTTCGTGCTGCGATTGTATTGCAGTGTGTTCTCGCCCTCTTAAACAAAGTTTGTACACAGTTGATTTTGTGAGTTCTTGGGTTGTTGCTATTGTAGTTGAGAATTTGATCGGTGTGGGTCGGTTTCCTGTGCACTTGAGTCTCTAGTTTTCCTGTGTCAGTTCTGGTGATTAATACATCTAAGAATGGTAATTTGTTGTCCGACTCTTGTTCCATTGTGAACTTGATGTCGTTGAAGACGTTGTTGATCTGCTTGTAGGTGTTTTCTAGTTCCTCCTTTTTGACGATGACGAATGTGTCATCTACATAACGAATCCAAATTTTCGGTTTGATCACTGGTAGAATTATGGTTTCTAGTCGTTGCATTACTGCTTCCGCGATGAGTCCTGATATTGGTGATCCCATTGGTGTCCCTTTTGTTTGTTTGTAGATTTTGTTATTGAATTGGAAATATGTTGTAAGACATAGATCTATGAGTTCAAGTAGGCTTTGACGTTGAAGTTTCGTGTATTTTGCGAGGTTTTCGTCGTTGGTTAGAAGCAAGGACAGGGTTTCTTTTGCTAAGTTTGGTTCAATGGAAGTGAATAGTGCTGTTACATCGAAGGATATCATTAGTTCGTCGTCGTTGATTTGAATGTTCCTAATCTGATCAAGGAATTGTGTGGCTGATTTGATGGAGTGGTTCGACGAATCTACTAAATGTTTTAGTATTCTTGAGATTTCTCTTGATAAATTGTACGTTGGTGTTCCTGGTAGTGCTACAATTGGACGTAGTGGAATGTTTGGTTTGTGTATCTTTGGTCTGCCGTAGAACCGAGGGAGTACTGGTCCATTAGATTTCATTCTCCATTGATCTTGCTTCGTTATTTCTCCTGCTTTGACGAGTTTGTTTAAAGTTTTTACAATGCGATTGTTTAGTTTTTTGACTGGATTTATGTCCATCGGTTTGTATGTATTTTTGTCCTCGAGTATTTCCTCGGCTTTCTTGATGTATTCTTCTTTGTCCATAATCACCGTGGTGCGTCCTTTGTCTGCTGGAACGATGACAATATCTTTTCTGGTTCTGAGTTTCTTCAAAGCTGTTTGTTCTTGTGACGTCAGTTGGTTGTTGCCCTTCATCCGTTGAGTTAGTGGTACTATAGATTGTCTTATTTCCTGTTGCGTTTCCTCACTTATTCCGGAAGTTTTGAGTGATGACTCCAGTGCTGCGTAGAATTCCAGTTTTGAAGCATCGCTTGTATTGTAATTTAATCCTTTTAGGAGTAGCTGTTCTTCTGTGTTTGTTAGTGGTTGTTTTGATAGGTTGACCACGCTGTTGTTTGTGTTTTCTTCTATAGTTGGATTTGAGATTTTGATTATTTTCTTTTTAAGGATGCTTCTTCTTTTTTCCCTGTGTCGTTTGCATAATGTTTCGATGGCTGTTGTCAGGGTTTCGAAGTGTTCTGGTGTGAGTGTCTGTTGTAGCTTCCTCTTTTGGTCCTCTATGATATGTTGGTATTTGCGGATCCTGTAATGTGCGTCCGTTATCATTAGATAAACCATTTTTCTTCCACTTTGCTCAGCTATTTTCCATCCTAATGGGCAGTTGATTGGAGGTCTGTATCTTACACTTGTTGGCAGGACATGCTGGCGAATGCACTCGTGGAGAAAATATAGTTGTTCTCGAGTGGAAGCTTGCCTTTTGGCGAAATTCTCCCATTTTCGAACAACGAGAAGCGTATTACGCTCTCCACCACGTTCTCCACCATCTCATCATCAGGTTATCTTATGTTCTCTTGTAGCTCAACCAGAATAATCCCGCGTGTTGTAGTCTGTCCTCGTAAGACTCATGTTTAAACCCTATCATGCACTTGATTGACTGTCTTGCATGTTCAATCAGTCCTGAATTTATGACGTTTATGGCAAGCCACTTATGGAACCATTCTGTAAGAGTCGTATTGGACATTCTGACATTTAAGAACGAAGTTTTGAGGTTTCCAGGCAGCTGTATTTGATCAGACCCCATGAGTAATATATTTAGTATAACCTGTTTCATTTATTATTTTTGTGAATTAGAACTTGTGAAGTTTCATACATTCCTCTAATCAAGAACTTCGTGTCGTTCACATTGAAGCAACACCAAGATTATTCTTTTACCTTGATTAGTGCGGCACTCTGTGATGATGCGGCTTTGATGTGGTTGTTAATGTATATATCCACTACACTTCGCATTTTGTGTGCCCTATTGAATCGAAAAATTATCATACCTTGCAAACTCACTTCGTCACTTGTGGGGGTGAGTGATAGCTATGTTTCAGTGAGGCCATGATCCTCATATTCAAGTGAAAGCACATGTTTCTGATTTCTTCTAATTTATACTTTATTCCTCTAACGTTGCTTTCAGGAAACTTGATGATTTGTCTCATTGCCTGATGCTCCTGTACAGAAGATTCGGTTGTAGTGCCGTGCTTCGTTTATAGTTTACCTCAACAACCGTTATTATACCAATCTTAACGGTGTATAGAATCAGAAGGCTAGAGGAAGCGGTAACTATATTTTTATTAACAAATGATGTAGGCCATAAAGCTATGAGCACATGAGCATATGTTAGCAGCTTGACTGGTGAAAAAGCTGAGGACAAGTTATTTTCAATGGTACATCTTAAGTGTTGTAGCCTAAATCTGATTCCTTTTTGATTGTACGTACTGTCTATCTTCGTATGTAACAAATGACTTTATACGCGTTGGTGAATAACGGGGTTAAATAAGTCAATTGCGAGAATGGATTTAAAATACATATAATTTCCACACTCAATGGTCTGGCCAGGGAATCAGAGTGATGAGGCAAATAGATGAGAGCGGAACAAAAATGACGCACATTTTGGGGATTGGCGGAGAAGCCAACTCGCTATGAGCAAGCATTACTCAATGTTTATAATCAGACAAAAATGAATGACAGACATGATGAATAAGATATAAAGTGTGCATGCACATACGCTCATATAAATAAGTAGTCAAGGTTGATAAGTGAATAATTAGGATCAAAATATGACTCATAATGTATAGGTGAATTAGCTCGGCCAGAAGCTAGAATAAAGTATATGGGCTTAACATGTCAAACGATACTGCACGGTCTTCTGATTTCTAGGCAGATTATTGTTCAACGAATGTTGGGCAGTTGCATTCGAACTGGCTGCTGTAGGTTTTCCTCTCTGTAGCTTGTTCAATGCTATGGGTTGTTGATCAAAATGAAACGAGACCAAAATTTGTTGATTGTGTTGTCTTGCTGATCTAGATCGACTTTCACAGCACTTCATATTACTGGAGAAGTCATTTTTCGGGTTGAATCAAGCCTGAAAAGCCTCATTTAGTTCATCACGTATTCTGAAATTCACAGCCACCACAAGTGGTAACTCAATGATTGTGAGGTGTGACAGACTAAGTAGCACTCACACCCTAATTGTTGTAGTGGTTTGGATGCTTACAGTACGTAATAACTAATGCCACCTTCCCACATAGTGTTCATGAGCTCCATTCCGACTACCACATGCTAGCTCAGGCATTCTGTGTTTCGCCATGCTGACTTATTCTTGGGTGTTTGTTTGTCTTCTAGCTGCATCGCTTGCGGATCACAATTTGTCATATCTAACTTGTATTTGAGAGGATCACTTAACCAATGATCTCTGTGATGGCAGTAAAATTTGTTTTCTAATGTTCACTGAATCCAAAGTTACCCTACATGAAGAGGGTTTATCTTTTTCTGCTATTCGGTCCTTATACAGACAGGATAGCTTTACTGGAGTGATA